CCCTCCCCTCCCCTCCGATGATTTTAAATTTTAATGAGTTTTACATTTCAATTTTCAATCAAATTTAACCATTTTGATCATTTGACGATAGTAACGGCGAGGTGGGAACGAATGTGGATCGCTGTTGTTTCAATGTCCAACCTGTTGCAGCTCTAGCAGGGCAGTTCTGGAGGAGGGGGCGGGTATCCCAACTGGAGAAGGACTTATGGGAATCGGAGAGGTACACGTGTCTCATGGAACTAAACCAGTGGCGTCCGATTGCTGAGGAGGTACGGGGTGAACTGCAACATGAAGAATTTGACGACTTTGTGCTTCTCCAGAGCGTGTGGTCCTGCGAGGGCAGAGAGCAACTGCTCCCACTGCTAATGAAGAGTTGTCTGAAGAGTGCGATTGACCGATCAGCGCTTCTGGCGTTCATCCAAACAAGCCTTGAAGACCCAGTCAAGCGGGCTGCTCTTATTGACGAGTTTTCGCCAGAGATGGCCTTTCTTGCGGCGTTGAATGACCAGCCAGATCGTGCTCAATTCTACATCCTGGAGACGTATCGCAAGTTTCGGGAGAAGTGGGGACTTCTCCACCCTCTTGCCACAGGGGTCAGGCATCGCCAGGTGCAGGTGCTGCAGAAGATTACAGAGGTCGGCGAGTACTTGAGTGCAAGCGCTGTGGGAAATGTGAAGGCACAAGAGGCAGCAGGTGTTGCCGCTGTGCGTAGCGCTCGTGGCGGACGTGTCATTGGCACTTTGCCCAGATTGCTTTCGGACTGGCAGATGAGGTGTCCGTCGTCAATCCATGATGGAGCCCTTGTGTGGGGCGATATTGTGCAGCAGCGGAGCGACTTCTTGGACAAGATAAAAAGGGAAATCAGCAGCCGCAGTGATCATCAGACTGTTGATGAGAAGATTTTAAGTGACGTCAACCCTGTAGACCCTCTACATCGTGCCATCTCCAGGCATCGACCGGAGCTGTACAAAGCCGTGGCTAGGGGGCTGAGGAAGCATGGCCAGTATGATGTTGCTGAGGTAATTATGGCTTTTTAAACGCGTTTTTTAACGCGTTTTTTAACTTGGAGAACTCTTTTTCAGCTTCTTATTATTCTCTTTTTGCACTCTGAGGTAAATGGGAAACCCCTTATCGGTTGAGACGCTCTCCTCAATATCCTTCCAGACATCCGTTAGAGCCAGAATGATGTAGAGAAGATTAGCATGGCCACTGCGCAAGAATGGCACACAGCAATCGTGAAATGGTTGGAAAGTGAAAAAAAAAAGAAAAAAAAGAAAAAAAAGAAAAAGAAAAAGAAAAAGAAATGGTTGGAAAGTGGTGATGAGCATGGGAGTAGTCCTCACCAAACATTGCACGTACAGAGAGGATTGGATTTAGTGCGTCAATCTGGACGCGTTTGTGGAGCCAAATCACAGCATTCTAACGTTGCACGTACAGAGCGGATTGAATGTAGTGCGTGAATCTGGACGTGTTTGTGGAGCCAAATCACATCATTCTGATGGGTAGTCAAAAGTACCCACCTGTTAGATGTATCCCTGGGGCGAGGTCCCACTAGCAGAGAGGATGGGATTTAGTGCGTGAATTGGGACGTGTTTGTGGAGAGATGCACGCAATCGCGATTGATCTGCTCTTCTGCATCTCTGCTGAAAAACCGTCCACATTCGGGCGCTCATTCCAACCCTCTTTGCTAGTGGGACCTTGCTACCGGTTGAAGTTCCTAACGCCGAAAATATCCACCTGTTGGATGTACGCAGGTGGAGCTTTCTAGGCTCTCTGATGAAAGCAACCTCTCCAGCCAAAATCATCCCGTTTCTTCCAAGTTGATGAAACCAACCTGGTTCGGCCCTTCCCTCTCCCCCCTCTTCAAGAAAAGCTTCCTCCTAAACCCCAAACAACAAAAGTAACCTCTGGACAATATTAATTGAACGGGACCACCACCCTCCCTATAGACCCCTCCCGGATAGAAGCTCGCCGTTTTTTTTTTCCTTAACAAGAATGACCTTCCGCAGCACCCCATTCAACGAAAGGTGACTTCTCCCACTGCCCATTTCATTCTGAACCAACCTATCGAGCCCTGCCAGCTCCTGTCCTGTACTACAGTCTACAGGTGCTGTGCCTTTTTTTTTTTTTTTTCCTTAAGGTGATGTGCTGGTGTATCTCTCCTTCCCGTTCTTCCTTCCTCTTAAACCACCTGTGCTGATGCATATCTCCTTCCATTTCTTCCTTCCTCTTAAACCATCGCAGGTTGCACCTTTGATGTACCACCCTAGTAGAGACTGATTCTTTTTTTTTTTTTTCTTTTTTTTTTTTTTTTTCAAATGGCGGTGATCTTGAGATATCATCATTGAGCTGACCGTCCCCAGGCAATTGAGAAATATTTGCTTTTTACTCATCAATCAAGTTCCTTCATCATCTGGATTCGAACTTGGGTCTGAATCATATTTCGACAGTTCATTCATGGGTGTGTGTACCCACTGAGCTAGGGCTCTTGGGTGTAAACAGAGACTGATTCAATTTCTTCGGGAGCGGAAAATGTCAGGTTCGAGAAAAGGTCCGCCGTACTACCGTCTTCACGCGAATAGACCACCCACCCGGTCATTATAACTGCATCTGGACTGGAAATTGTACCAAAAATATGGCTATAATTATCGGGCGTTCTATTTGGGTGAAGACGGTAGTTGTTTTTATTTACTTAGAAGGGGACAGTTACAGCTGAACATATTGCATCAGGTTAAATCGTTTTGCTTTATCCTTTTTTTTTTTCTTTTTTTTTTTTTTTATCTAACCAATCAGAGACCTCTCTAGGATATTGACATGAGTTGTCCTTTTGGCCTTTTTCACTGTTGCAGCTGTATCTTTTGGAGTACTTGGGACAGAAGCCAGAGACTGCCGCAGACACAGCAATGTTAGATTTCGGTTTCATAAAGTCTTTAGTAAAATTGCGACTTCGTAATGCCCGACGGGTGCATCAATTTCGTCCTGAAGATGCTATCAAGTTGCTGGAAGAGCCCATGGACTGGATCAGCAAGCATACTGACTTGCCAGGGCTACGAGAAAGACGTGACCATATGCACATCTCTCAGAGTCTGCGCATGCTCGAAGGCGATGTGCATTCTGAACTGGCGAGGTTGGCTATGGAGCAACGCACACCCATTGACTTGCAGGCTGTCGGCGAAAGCGAGACACCGACAAACGAGAGAGTGTTAGCTCTTCTGGGAAGTGCTTTTGAGCTTTACTCAGGGGTCATGAGGGAGTGCTGGCCTGAGATGTTGGCTGTGAGACGACAGGTTTATGCGAGCAGCGCGGTAGAGGCAAGGCACTACACCAAGTCGTCGTTGAAATACGCATCGTTCTGCAATGAGCTGCTGAAACTGAGTGTCGAAGGCTGCGTCGCACTGCCGAGACTGGCGGAAAGCTTGAGTGAGGGGGACTCTGCGGCAAGGCTTCCAGGCCCCGCAGTGGATGTATACCCCCAGTTGATTGTGAGGCATGTTATGAGAGCATTGGCCATGGGCGGCACTTCCACGGCTCAGCATATCATCCCTCGTGTTAATGCCTTGTTGGGTTCGTATAAGGTTGCTCGGTCGGCGTTTGAGAAAGCATGGGATAATGGAAAAAGCAGCATTCCCAGTTGGGTGTTCTTGCCATGGATACCGCAAATGTTGTCGGTGATCGATCAGCACGAGGGGGTTCTGTATGTACCCATTCTGCTTGTTATCGCCAAGGAGTACCCTCAGGCACTTTACTTCCCGTTCCGGGTGAGCGCGGAGGATTTCAGCCCTGTCGCCCGGCAGCGTACAGCTGGCATTGCACAACAATTGCGTAGTCCCACGATGGACCGATTTGCTCGCGCCCTTGAGGACCTGACGTCCCCAGAGCAGCGCATCAAGGATGGGATAGAGTCGATTCAAACTTATCTGGAGAGAGGCGATAATCGAGGAGCTCTGGCGGCATTTAAAAGGATGGATGACGATTGTCTGGATGAGGAAGCATTACATCGCCGGGGAGCAGGGGATTACAACACAACTTTCGCTCGGAACTGGAGATCGGAGTTTGTGGACGCACTCGGGGAGGGAGGAAGTAAGCTGAAGACAATGAGTGTTGCCGACTTTGTGGGGGCAACAGCGAAAATCATGCGAGCCAGACAAGCTGCGGAAGGTAAGCAGCCGAAAGGGAGAACGGATCTCTCCAAGTTCTCAAAATGGCTGGCAGACTACGGTCAATCGAGGAGTACGACCCCGGTCACCAGGTCGACAGGACAACAGAGCTCAGATAAGGTATCCTTTCCCGGTGGGTCGGATGCAATAGTGGGCGGCGACGGAGGCGCAGATGAAGATAAGGACATGGACTTCCTGGACATTGGAGTGGGAATAGAGATTCCTGGGCAATACCGATCAGTCGGCAGGCCGGACCCTGCGAACCATGTTCGTGTCACAAGCTTTGATCAGACAATCGTCACTGTGTCCTCAAAGCAGAGGCCAAAGATACTAACAATCCGCGGCAGCGATGAGAAGGAGTACCGGTTTATCGTGAAAGGTGGTGAAGATCTGCGGCTGGATCAGCGGATTGAGCAATTGTTTGAGGTGATGAACACTGCGCTTGGAGCGGATGGGCAGTGCAGACAGAGGGGCCTCAAGATAAAGACCTTCTCTGTGGTTCCTGTGACGAAGCGATGCGGTCTTCTGCAGTTTGTCGAATCGACTTGCACGCTTCAAGAACTAGTTGAGAGAGGTCTTGATACCGCCCTGGCGAAGTCGAGCATCGGAAGAGGGTCCAGCAGAAGGCCACAAGTAAATAGCAGCCATAGTTTGATGACAGGGGTAAGGGAGGAGTTCATGCAATGGATTTGTAGGGCTGCTAGGGAAAAACCGCCGATGCGAGCGGGGCTTTACTATCCTATGTACATGAGGACCGATAGGGCTGAAGTCGAAAGGAAAATGCAGTCCTTTCAGGGGAAGCTTCCGTGGAACGCTCTCCGTTCCGGCTTGTATCAGCATGCGCAAGGGCCAGAGTCGTTCCTTGCGCTCCGAGCAAAGTTCGCACGCAGTCTCGCTGTCTCTTCCATTGCTGGGTATATCGCTGGCGTCGGTGATCGGCATTTGCAGAACTTCCTTGTGGATTTAAGCGACGGTAGTCTTGTGCCAATCGACTTCGGCTACAGTTTTGGCACTGGCGTGATGATGTTACCTGTCCCAGAACTTGTCCCGTTCCGTCTGACGCGCCAAATGCAGGACGTCCTTGCACCGTTGGATGCTCTACGGCTTTTGCGTGTCGACATGACGAGGGTTCTGAACGCGCTGCGGGAGCACAAAGAAGCGCTCACAGCCGTCATGGACGTATTTGTGAAGGAGCCTATTCTGGAGTGGAAAATCGAAGCTTCGAGGAAACGCCTCATGTCAAGGACCATGAGGGGGGCGGCAATTCAACGGGGGCATGCGCGGAACGAAGCGCAGCCAGGTGCAGGTGGACCCAACCAGCGGGATCCTGATGCAGAGAGCAGCAGAGACCACTCCGACCCGCAAGAGGGAAGCAACGACTGGTTGGTAGACGACGAGGACAAGAGACACATCGAAATTAAGGTGGAATCAGCGCATCGCAAGCTGAGTTTGTGGAATCCGGTGGATGTGATGCTAGAGGAATTACACGCATCAGTTCATGCCAACAAGCCATATTTCGACCACCTCGAGAAGATCATTAGAGGAGATCCACGGCACAATAAGCGAGCACAGATTCAAAGCAAAGTGTGCGCAAACGCGCAGGAGCAAGTAGACTGCCTGATTGACCAGGCTGTTGACCTGAACCTTCTCGGAAGAATCTGGGTCGGATGGACTCCATGGATATAGGTGGTTTCAGAAGTGATCCAGTGGAACTGGAGGGAGAAAGGCAAGGGGACTACGGATGGGCCAACGTTTTTTTTTTTTTTTTTTTTAACCCGAGTTGGTGCACGAGTAAACTGCTGAAAATAATAAATATACAGACCTGTGAACGAGTCCACATGGAACTAGATGAATGAAATTCTTTTCGAGTTACCGAGGGCCGCTCAGTTGCACGACAATATCTCAAGGATATCGCATGGCACACACAGCATTAAGATTAACGAATTAGCCTTTTTAACATCCCACCCCCCCAACCCCCCCCCCCCCCCCCCCCCCCC